AGTTTTCTGCTCTTGTTGTAATCGTTTCTGATATTGTGACAGTGAGTGCGAAAAATAAGTTTATATCAATTACTATTAAACCAAGGAAAATAAAACTTAGGTACCACTTAGATTAAAAAATTAAAGCAAATAAGGGGGCAATAACTAATAAAGCGGTATTCTGCTTTCGTGACAAAAAAACAGTGACGATGAGAACAACAACGAAGGAGAATAAAAAATTCCCTGTATGGGTCGATATTTTTGACATTACTGTTACGAGTCGAAATTGATGTTGAACCTGCAACGTCCATTTTTTGGTTTTGTTGAACAGGAGAATTTGGCTGACACAGCCTGGTTTACAGAATCAAAAGGTGGTTATTTTCTGTTGGGCATAAGTTTGTTGTCTTCAGTGTTACTGTACATAGGCTTAACTAACAGCAGTTGCTGCTGGTGATTCACTTTTCAGATATTTGTAATTGTTGAATTTTTATTGTCCAAAAAAGACGGACCTGTAAACAAGAAAACGAAAAAAGGAAGATAACAGATGATTCAGTTTTGTTTCTGTTTTACACAAATTAAAATTGTCTGAGTGTTGTCAGCAGCTTTTTGGTATTGAACGATCTGTACTGTTACTGCCTATTATTTGGATAGTTTAATATGGCGGTTTAATTTTGATCGCATTAACTGTACAGTCACTACCAAAGAATTTAATAATGACTATTTGAGATCTCTTTTATTGTTATCATTCTTTTGTTTACTTTCATAACTAAAATTGTAAAAGTGTGATTTCTTGCCACAAAACAGTTATTTTATTCATTACTGTTCATAAAACTTCCTCTTTTAAATTTCAAGGGTTAGTATTTAGCTTAAGATTTTAATCTAATTTTTTTGTTAAAAAAGAAGCACGGATGACTTGTTTGGTAGTAAAGAGTGCAGTATTGCTGACTATGATAGAAGATAGGTCCAGAGGGAGATACCGTACAAATATAGTCATATATAGGCCTTTACATGTTTGCATTTGTTTGTATAGAGGAAGATTTTGTTATGCTGAGGCCTAGTTTAGTTTTAGTATTTCAGTGTTGGTTTTTCTTTACCATCAAATATCATCAAAAACTGTTGCACTATAACCAATAACAAGTTCGACCTTGAAATATTACTGTGCAACAGACAATTAAATACAAATACCAAATGTTACGTCTTATCTGCTCTATAGATAAATAAATAAATAAATATTATATATATATATATATATATATATATATATATA